ACGACGTACACCGTGGTGAAGGCAGCGGGGACGAAGAAGTCAAGCGGCCTCCGGAGTCGGCCTGAACGCCGTGGTCCCGCCTGGACCTCCTTGGCGTCCCCTCTATCGTCGCTGTCGTCGCTGCCCTTGGCCTCCTGCTGCTCCTCAGCCGGCGTCCCAGCGGACTTCTCCTCTGTGGTCGGCTCCCCTGCTGGCTGCCCGGTCGCCGATTGCTCCGTAGTCAGCTTCACACCTGCCTGCTCCTTTGTCGGCCGCTGCTCCTCGACCTGCTTCTCGACCTGCTCCTCCCCTGTTGACGTTGACTGCAAACCCACGTCGACCTGCCGCTCGTCAAGTCGGCCACCGGCGATGCACTTGGCCGAAGGCGACGTCCCACTACTCCCCTCATCGCCGGAGGCCGACACCGAGGTCAGCCCACGCAGGTCAGCCACGAGGGGAGGGGCAGGGGTTGGAGGGGGAGGGGTAGGGGGGCGGACGTCTTCGACGTCCTTGGTAGCAAGCTCACTGACCTCGGCAAGCAGCGGCAGCGTCGCCAACGAGGTGTTAGAGGGCGGGGTGGACGACGAGCGGCCGGACACCGGCCCATGCTCCGTCTTCCACTCGGCCAGCGACATCTCCTCGTAGAACACCACGTCGGATGTGGTGACCACCCGGTCGGTGTCGACGTCGAGGAGCTGCCAGCCCTTGCTCATTGCCGACACGCCAAGGTGCAGGCCCCACCTGGCCTTCGGCTTCAGCTTCCCACCACGCTGCTGCTCAGGGACAAGGAACTGTGCCATGCAGCCCCACACCCACGCCAGCGACAAGTCGGGCTTCTTCCCGGTCAGCAGCTGGTACGGCGTTGTCCCCGGCGGCAGCGCCGACTTCTCAAGGCAGTTGCAGACCCAGACGGCCTGCCACAGAGCGAGGTGCCTCCAGTGGTGCTGCACGCCCACGTGCAGCAGCATCGTCCGCACCAACTCCACCACCGTCCTCATATCCCGCTCCGCCATGCTGTTCTGCTGTGGGGTGTATGGGCAGGTCAGGTTGTGGACGATCCCCTTGCCGTTCACGAAGTCGGTGAACTGCTTCCCGAGGAACTCCCCTCCCCGGTCTGAGCGCAGCATCAACACCGACTTCTTTGTCTGCCACTCAGCCACCGCCACCCACTGCACGAACACCGGCAACGCATCTGACTTCTTGGCGACCGGCTTCACCCATACGTAGCGGGTCTTGCGGTCCTTCAGCAGCAAGAAGTACAGGCTGCCATCCTTGGCAGCCACGCGGAACGGCCCGCACAGGTCGATGTGCACGACGGCCAGCACGTCGGCGTCGGAGCCTTGGTCGGGGAAGGTGTGCCGTGCCAGTTTCCCACCGACGCACGAGACACACGGTGAGTCGGCGCCCGTTGCCGACTTGAGGTCCAGCCCAAAGGCGACCTCGTTTTTGCAAAGCTCCGTATGGTGTCCATGTCGACGTGCGCAAGCCTTGCATGCATCTGGTCCTGCGTCGACTTCGCCTTCGGGACGATCGCCCGCAGAGCCATGACCTCCAGCGTGGTCGACGCTGACATCGTCGTGCAGGGACGCGGGTCGGTGCGGAGGACTCGCCCGGAGTACGTCGCCCGCCCGAGCATCTCCCCTGCTGCCGAGACGAGCAGCATGCCGTCTCCGTCCTCCTGCAGCTTCACGCCGTGCTCTTTCTGCTGGCCGGCCGACAGCAGGTTGGCCCGCACACACGGGACGTACAGCACGTCTGGGATGAGCACCTCCTTCCCAGCCTCTCCTTGCAGGGCGACGGTGCCACGGCCATGGACGTCCTGCAGCGCCCCATTGAAGCCGCGCACGTGCTTGATGGAGCCGCTTGGCTGCAGGTCAACGAAGACCTCCTTCATCCCCATCAGGTGGTGGGAGCAGCTGCTGTCGAGCAGGACCACCGCCGGGTTCGCCTGCACCGCTGCCGCCACCGCCTGGAAGTCCTCTCCGGCCTCCGGCGCCAGAGAGATGGTCGGCTCCACGACGCCGACCAGCGAGCACGACGCCGTCTTGTCGTCTCGCCCCTTGCGGCCTGCAGCGGAGTCGGCGTCCTTCGCCGAAGTCGATGTCTTGGTCGACTGCTTCTCCTTGCACGGCTGGTTTCCTCCACGACGAGGACGACGGCTGCTAGACCTCCCACGGCCTCCCTTAGCGTCGTCGTCGTCGGAGTCACTGCGGATGGGACACTCGAAGAAGAGGTGATCGGGGCTGTGGCAGATCCAGCACTCCCGACGTCGACCTCCTCCTCGACCGCCGTCCTTGGTCGACTTCTTATCGACCTCCTTGGCTGACTTCCAGCCACCGCTCCCGCCGCCACCAGACTGTCCGCCCTGCAAGTCTTGTTTTTTACTCTTCCTGTCCTCCATCCGTCGGGGGTGAGGTTGTGCTTGAGGACAGACTGGAGGAGCAGGAGTGTCTTGGTGCCGCTGCACCTCATCTCGCGACCATGTTGCTTGCCCCTTAAGGAGACCCGGATGCACTTGACATCCCCACCCCGTGCTCTGACAGAGAGGCGATCTCGGATGAGTACTTCTCTCAGTGGCAGACAGCCATGGACGCAGAGATGGCTTCCTGGAAGTCCACAGGCACCTACGTCGACGAGGTTCCCCCACCTGAGCGAACATCGTCAGTGGCATGTGGATTTTCAGGGTGAAGCGGCCGCCGGGTTCTCTGCCTGCCTTCAAGGCAAGTTACGTTGATCGAGGCTTCAGTCAGCGTGAGGGGGTCGACTTCTTCCAGACCTTCTCCCCCACCCCAAAGATGACCACTCTTCGGGTGTTGCTACACGTTGCAGCTCAGCGTGTAAACGAGCTGCACTCCCTCGACTTCTCGAAAGCCTTCTTACAAGTTAGCCTTCAGATGCTATCTAGTTGCGCCATCCACGTGGCTTCATGGGGTCTTTTCCTGAGGGTACCCAGTGGAGTCTTCAGCGACCAGTTTACGGCCTCCGACACGCACCCCGCGAGTGGCACGACACACTGAGGACTACACTTGCGGCTCTTGGATTCGCTCCCTCGAATGCTGGCCTGTTTCTGCGCACAGACACTTCTCTGCCACCATTCTACGTTCTTGTGCTCGTTGACGACTTGGTTTTTGCTACTGCTGACACTGAGGCTCTGGCCTTGGTGAAGGCGGAGCTGCAGGAGAGACACACTTGCATTGACCTGGGTGAGCTGCGGAGCTATCTTGGCTTGTAGATCACCCGGGACACAGCACGCCGCAACATCACCCTCACTCAGTCACACATGGTGCAACAGGTCCTTCAGCGCTTCGACTTCACGTGGTCCTCGCCACAGCACACTCCTCTGTCTACCGGCCACTCGCTCTCAGCTCCACCTTTGGACGAGTCCGTAGAGCCGAGTGGTCCGTACTCAGAGCTTGTGGGTTGCCTCATATACCTGATGACGTGTACACGACCTGACTTTGCGTACCCTCTCAGCCTCTTGGCTTGCTACGTGGCTCTCGGTAGACATCGAAAGATGCACTTGGATGCTGCGAAGAGGGTATTGCGTTACTTGTGAAGCACATCGGGCATGGGGCTCGTGCTTGGAGGGCCGGGTTCAGTTGTTCTCATCGGTCACTCATACACTTCTTGGGGTGACGACCAGACGACTCACCGGTCGACACAAGGGTACAGTTTCAGCCTCGGCGCTGGTTCTGTCTCGTGGAGGTCCACTCGCTCTTCTTCTGTACTTAGTTCCAGCTCTGAGGCCGAGATCTACGCTGGGGCCATGGCTGCACAGGAGCTCCGGTGGCTGACCTACCTGCTGACCGACTTGGGGGAGCGGCCTCGTTCTCCTCCAGTTCTGTACGTCGACAACAAGGCCATAATTGTCTTATGTCACGACCAGAGACTGGAGCACAGAACAAAGCACATTGCTCTCCGTTACTTTCTCATGCGAGATCTGCAGCAGCTTGATCAGCTTCATCTTGCTTACGTGGCCACTTGGCCCAACACTGCTGATGTTTTCACCAAGGCCCTTGGGTCTAGTGATCATCAGCGTTTTTTCACTGCTCTTGGGCTTGTGCCCACTCTGCCTCACTTGCTTGTCTCTTGATCTTGCTCTTGTTTTACACTGATACATATGAGTATACCTGCATGCTTACACTTGCTAGGTTGTGATCAGTGCACTGCTCTTTGCTATTATAAACCCTGCATGTGAAGTGGCCTTGTGGCCGCTTGCTTGTGCTCAGAATGCGTGGTGATCTTTAGATCCACCTTGAGCTTTGCTTTGCTTAGTTCTCTTGCTTGACTGGTCTTGTGACCGTTTGTTGTGTTTGCTATTCCCCACTTTGCCTATGGGGATGTGTCAAGTTGTAATTGTATGCTCTAGGCTCTAGTGGGGCATACTCTAGTGAGTACAACCCCTTAGGGTTTCCTAATTGTACTGACAACCCTAATCAATCAACACTTCACTTATTAACACCTGATGCATTAACGTGCCTAAAAGTGAATCATAGGCCCTGCCTCAAACACGCAATCAAGATTGAGGGTTATGTTACCATGGCCCTCATTATGCAACCGTCTGCGCCAGTGTAAAACGCTTGCACCAAAAGTATGATGGTATAAATAAAATGGTGATGATGACCGGTACGGCGATACCATGTCAGACGATGGCTCAAAACGATGTAGAAAAATAAGAAACACTACTTAAAAGCAGGGCATGCCAACTTGTCCGAATTCTATTGAAGGGCTTTGAAGGATGAGCATCAAGGGCATTTAGAATGAGTCATAAAGAAAGCACTAATACATGTGTGGCATATCTTCATGGTATAGTAGAGTCAAAACAAAAGTGCTTAAACCTGTCCATATAAGAGTAAGAAAAGTGGGAAAGCGAGGGGGGTACAAGCTTGTGGGAGGCCCAGCACACCTAATACCGTAACCGTCTCTACTGCATGCAGCACTGACTTGCTTCACCTTCATTCCCCTCCAGCCACTGCCCTTGCATATGCTTCCGCCACTCACCTTGCCCCGAATGAGAATTTTCAAAAGGTATCCACCTTATCATTGCTCTTCTCGCTCTTCTTCCCACCAGCCCTGCCAAGGCATGTGAGCTTGTGGGAGGACCAGTGCGCCTTTTGGCACTCCCTACTGCAATACGCCACCTTGCCACACCAACTGCAGCTCTTCAGCTTCACATCACCGCCTTCCACCGCGCCACACCCTGCAGCACCGCACACACGCCTCTTGGAACCCTCGGAAGCTTCACTGCTTTTGTGTGCATGCGCAGAAACAGAACTTGGTGCAGAAGAGGCAAGCGCAGCAGCATTGCTAGCTGCAGAAGGCAGTGCTTGGGGCACCGTACTTGACTCCAGCACGTGTGGCAGAGACAGCAGCACAAGTGGCACCGGAGGCAGCAGCAGCGGGGCCAGGGCGGTAGCAGGGTTCCCCCAGTAGCATCTCTCGCAGGCAAGCCACCAGATTGACACCCCCCGGCCAAGCCTTCAGATGGGTCGGCACCTCATCCTCCTCCCTCTTCCCCTTCCCTTCCCCTTCCCCTTCCCCGCATTGCTGCTCTTGCTGCTGCAGCTGCCACTGGTGCCGCTGCTGCTGCTGCTGCTGCTGGCAAGAGGAACCCCCTTGTCCCACTCCTCACAGAACCTTGACTCCATCGCCCTGTTGCACAGCTCTGTCGCCACGTCGTTGCTGCACTTGCGTGGCGGCCCACCACTGCTGCTGCCGCTTCTGCAGTCGTTGATCAGATCGGTCATGGCACCAGCCCAGCACTGCAAATCCCCAGTCCTTCACCTCCCCATCATCATCCTCCTCCTCCCCTTCCTCTACCCTCCCTCCCCCACCATCCCCACGCATCCTTCTCCATGCCTTCCTCCATTCCGCCCCCCCCCAGCAGGTCCCCTTTCCACTCGTCTCACCCGACCATGCCAATCTCCTCGACCTGCAGCATCGCATTCGGCCAGTTGAGAGCCACGTTGAGCAGAAAGTGGACCGGAATCTCCTCCGCTCTCTCCCTCACCACGTGCACCTGGAATGCCGCACGGGTACTCCGAAGAAAAGGTTCTAACAATAGCAGGTCTACGAGCTTAGAGAATTCTGGGGAGCGCGGGGGGAAGACAGAGAGGAAGCGGTTGAGGAGGACGGTGGTGGGGCGGTAGGCGAAATTGGCGAGGAGGGTGAGGAAGGGGATGTGGTAGGTGAACTGGTCGAGGCACGAGCGGCAGCGGGCGCATGCGGGGGGGTAGACCTGATGCCCGGCAAACTCCACCAGGAAATGAGCGTCTGCTGCGCACCGCACAATGGGCATGGCTCCGTTCTTAGAGGGTGCTGCTGCTCTGGAGGGGTGCGCTCCCCCTCCCCCCTTCCCGCCACTCCTCCTGCCACGTCCCTTGCCACGCCTCCAACTGCTCCCCCCACCGCTCTCCCCACCACCCCTTGTGCCTCTTCCCCTGTTCCCCTGATCTCCCTCCGCTGCCTCCTCTACACTCCCCAGACGAAAGCAACGCACGCTCTGATCGTCAGGAAACTTCACTGCATCTTCCTCACCCTGAGGCCACTCCTCCCACTCCGAGTCAAACTGACTCCAAGGCAGAGGCTTGGGGATAGCACCGAGCCTGACCAGCAGGCTCGGAAGGTCCCAAAGCGGGTGGCGCATGGGCAGGATTCTGCCGTGCGGGCTCCCCTTGAAGCACCTCCCAGCTGAGATAAAACCTGAGCTGTAGATTCGCACCCACTGCAGGATACAGCCGACCCGATACGTCATTGCCGAGACGATCGGGTTGGTGCTGTTGACAGGGACAAGGGAAGGGGTGGGTGAGTTGGTGAGGCTGGCGGAAAAATCGGCAGCAGCAGTGATTTCATGTCCGTTTGGGTCCGATACAATGATGTCAGATAAGAAAACCACTTGCCCCGTCGCCATCTCCCATTTCATCCTCGCCCTGGTCACTATGTCCCTGTTGAGCCACTTCTTGGACTTCTCAATCGCTGCATCTTCCACGCGTGCTTGCCTGCAATCTCAGCGTTCATACAGAACACCTCGCCCTGCTTCCTCTGCCCGCTGTTAGACAGCACAGTGGGGAACGCAAGGGAAAATTCGGTGGCACCCACGTCGCTCAGATACATGCCGTTAGGAGCGCTGTTGCCCATAGGAATGTTCAAACTCGTGCTGCCACTGCAACTGTTGCTGCTGGTGCTGCTGCTTCTGCTGCTGGTGTTGCTGCTGTTGCTGCTGCCACTCTCATTGCAGTGGCTGCACCTGAACCCCCTCCCTTCCCCTCCTCCATGCTGCAGAATCCAAGCCATGCCATCCACATACCTCTCCCACACAGGCCCTTTCAGGTGCTCCCACCATTTACCATCCTTCTCGGCCTTCCTCTCAGCACTCTCACCACGTCTCCCTCCCCTCCCCTCCCCCCAGCCTCGCTCTCGGCCACCATACACAGCACCGTGCCACCCCTTTCCTCCTCCCCATCCACGCCCATGACATGCCGCATCCTCGTCATCACATCTGCCATCGTGGGTGCATCGCTTTCCCCCATCGTGAGCATCATCCCCATCATCTCTTCAAACAGCTGCCATCCCTCACCTCCTGCTTCCTCCCCAACGCCCCTCCCCGCCCCTGCCCCCGGCCCCACTGCTCCCCCTGCTTTCTTCTCCCCCTCCCCACGCTCCCTCACCCCCCTTGACAGAAAATTCTGCATGAAAAACCCAAAACCCTCCTTCAGCTCACCAGCCTCCTTCACCCCAAGCACCTGCACCAGCAAGGAAGCTAGCTGATCCTGCTTCTGCTGCCTGCCCGCCCCCACCTCACGCATTACCCCTGAGAACGTGGCCGAATCGGAGTCCATGTGGGCCTTCCATAGAGTCATAATGCGGGGCAGCCTCGCTACAATCACAACGAAGGTGGCGAAGCTGACGGCACGGCGGTAGGCAACCCAGCAGCTGCTGCAGCGGTAGCAGCATGACCAGACGACCGAGGGAGGAGGGGCATGGGGTGGAGCAGGAGCAATGACAGGATCGACAGCAGCAGACGCAACGGAAGAAGTAGAAGCAGAAGAAGTAGCAGTAGGAGCAGTGGCAGCAGGAGCAGGAGATTCAGCAGCAAGACCTTCAATCCCCAGAATAACCGGTAGGCGGGTTTTGACCATCCCAAGGTCCATCATCACACCCATACGCGGCTCAGCCATGCACTCTAACACCATCGCGTCTGCACAAATCCCCGGGGCCCGCTCGCACTTCAGTTTGTACCGCTCTCGAGAGGAATGCACCCCTTGCCGCCCTCCTAGCGCTCCCTCCGGCACAAGAACTCCCGAGGAGAACTTCTCAATCACCCGCGCTTTTGCCTGGAGAGCTGCTGCCGATGCATGCTGGGCCGCTGGCGATGCTGTCAAACTATGTTTTTGCATAGTTTATACAACTGTTTGTAGTTAGTGTTAGTGTAGTTATATATTTGCTTGTTTGGTGGTGCACCTTTGCTTGTTCACTATATGTTCTTCACATTCTATAGTGAAACCAACCATTCTCGCATCCTTTGGCCACAATTCTCTCGACATACGTTGGCCTAGGCTCCTAAGCCTAGGCCCTAAACCCTTACATTAGTACTTTGACATGGTATCAGAGCCTAAAAGTTCCTAGTGCCTGAAGTTTTTTTTTTTAAAATTTCCAATGGGCCCACCAATAGCCTTAGCCATGGCCCGCGTGCAGCTGCTTCGTCGCGCCTGCCAGCGCTCTAGCGAGCCCAGTGGCAAGATCGCCAACGGATCCGCCATCGAGCGCGCCAGCGACCCGCGAGCGAATCAGCCAGCGGACCCCCAGACGGCCTCGCCAACAAGTGAGTTGGGGGACCCGCGGGTCCGCCTAAAAACGAGCCAGCAAAAACGCCAGCGAAATCGCCAGCGGCCCGTGTCAGATTTATATGACATAGTTGCTGTAGGCTATAGTGGGGTAGCACATATGGGGTACAGGGTTTCTAGGGTTGTATTTGTACCCAATCTTTCCTTAGTCATTTCATTCCTGTTCACTTGTTTCACATGGTATAGAGCGGGTCCTTCCTAAGGACCGTTTTTTTTAGGGCCCACCGAAGCGCGCCCCGAGGCGCGCATTTTTTTTAGCAACCCCTCGGGTCGCCATTTCCCTCGCGGCCCCGCTGCCCCTCCTGATCGCGGCCCCGACGCCTGCTTGATGCGGCCCCGCCGCGTCCACTGACGCGGCCCCGCCGCCGGCTCAGACGCGGCCCTGCCGCCCGCTACGTCGCGGCCCCGCCGCCTGCTTGACGCGGCCCCGCCGCCTCCACTGACGCGGCCCCGCCGCCGGCTCTGACGCGGCCCTGCCGGCCCGCCGCTGCACCTGACGGCCCCGCCGCTGCACCTGCCGGCCCGCCGCTGCACCCCACAGCCCGCCGCTGCACCCTACGGCCCGCCGCCTCACCTGACGGCCCCGCCGCTGCGCCTGCCGGCCCGCCGCTGCACCCTACGGCCCGCCCCTGCACCCAGTGGCCCGGCGCTTCACCTGCCGGCCCGCCGCTGCACCCAGCGGCCCGCCGCTTCACCTGACGGCCCCGCCGCTGCACCTACCGGCCCGCCGCTGCACCCTACGGCCCCGCCGCTGCACCTGCCGGCTCGCCGCTGCACCGGTCGACTCGACGCTGCACCTGCCGGCCCGCCGCTGCACCTGACGGCCCCGCCTCTGCATCTCCCGGCCGAGCCGCCCCAGCAGCAGAGCCGCCCCAGCAGCCGAGCCGCCCCAGCCGCCGAGCCGCCCCAGCAGCCGAGCCGCCCCAGCAGCCGAGCCGCCCCAGCAGCCGAGCCGCCCCACCAGCCGAGCCGCCCCAGCAGCCGAGCCGCCCCAGCTGCAGTGCCGCCCGAGCCGCCCGAGCCGCCGAGTCGCCCGAGCCGCCCAGCAGTCGAGCCGCCCAAGCCGCCCGAGCCGCCCGAGCCCTCCCTGCACTGCCCTGTCTGGTGAGCACTGAGCTTTACTCTGCGCACTGCCCTCTCTCTACTGCTGTCATGGCTACCCCCAGTGTCCTCGCCTTTGACGCTGAGGGCAGAGCCATTGACTTTGACGTGTGGGTAGACGACCTACTGCTTTTCCTACAGTGCGACAAAGCTGACGGACTCTCTCTCTTTGATCTCACTTCTGGTGCCTCTCCCGCCCCTGCTGCTACTGAGAATGCCACTGTTCGCTCACAGTGGGCCACACGCGATGCTGCTGCACGTCTTGCTGTGCGTCGCCACCTCCCTCCCGCTGAGCGTGCGCACTTTGGGTCGTACAAGAGTGCTAAGACCTTGTACGACGCCGTTATCGCACGCTACTCCACCCCTGCCACTGCTGCACTGAGCCGCCTCATGCTACCGTACCTCTTTCCCGACCTTGCTGCTTTTGCCACAGTCGCCGACCTCATTACCCACCTGCGCACTAGTGACGCTCGCTTCCGCGCTGCACTTCCTGCTGAGTTCTGCGCCAAGAACCCCCCCCCCCCCCCAGTACTTCACTCTCTACTACATTGTCACCCGCCTCCCTGACTCCCTTCGCGGAGTCAGGGACGACCTACTCGCAGTCTGCCCCACCACTCTCACTGTCGAGATCCTCGAGAAGTCCCTCCTCGCAGCCGAGAAGGGCATTCTCGCTGTAGGGGCCTTTCGTGGTGACCCGCGCACCCCCATCTTTGAGGGGTGTTCCCCCTCCCCCCTCCTGCCCTCTGTCGCCTCTGCTGCTACGGCCGACCTTGTTGGTTTTGAGTCGGTCGGAGCGGCGTCTGCCCCCAGCGGGAGACGTCGCTCTGGCAAGAGCAAGGGGGGCAGGGGCGGTGGTGGAGGCGGCGGGGGCGGTGGAGGCGGAGGTAGAGGCAGCGGCGGAGGTGAGGGTGGTAGCGGGAGTATTGGCGGGAGTGGAGGTGTCGGCGGAGGCAGTGGAGGCGGGGGCGGCAGCGGCGGTGGTAGTGGGGGTGGAGGCGGAGGCGGCGGTGGCGGCGGCGACGGTGGGAGTGGCGGTGGCGGTGGAGGTGGTGGCGGCGGCGGCGGAGGAGGCGGCGGAGGTCGTGGCGCGCCGAGGAGGAGTGGCTCCGGTGGTGGTCAGCGCCAGCAGCAGCAGCGTGGTCAGGAGACCCTCTCCCCGCAGCAGCTCCGTGAGTGGTACTCTGCGCGTCAGCGGGGTGGGGGTACTGGTCCGTGCACTTACGTCCTGCGCACTGGCGACCGTGCGGGTGAGCAGTGTGGTGGTCCACACTCCGCCCAGCGTTGCTTCGGCCGCCTGACTGACGCTTGGCGCCGCCAGTTTCCTGACGCCTCTGAGATCCCTCGCTGGGACCAGCTGTCTAGGGCTGGAGTAGCTATCTTTGATCTTGACTTTGATGCTATTCTTGCTGCTATGTATGCTGTGACTATTAGTGAGGAGGGTGACTGTTACCGGTGTTTCCCGCCCGACCCGGGCATTGGTACTGCGGCTCTAGGTGCTGTTGAGGCTGCTGCTCCAGGTGCTGGTGAGGCTGTTGCTCTAGGTGCCAGTGAGTCTGAGTCCTCAGGTGCTGGTGAGTCTGCTCTCTTAGGTACTGTGTCGACTTCACCCTCTCTCACTTTCACTCTTGACTCCGGGGCGTCTCGCTCCTTCTTTCGAGACCGCACCACACTCACGCCGCTTAGTCGGCCAGTGACGGTCTCCTTGGCAGACCCCTCCGGGGGTCCTGTTCTGGCTCGCTACTCCACTGTCCTGCCGTGCCCTGCGCTCCCGTCTGGCGCCCTGTCCGGTCTCTACCTCCCCTCGTTCTCTACGAACTTGGTGGCGGGTGCTGACCTACAGGATGCAGGGGTTGACCAGTTCACCCCTGCGCGCCGACGAGTCACCCACTGCACGGACGCGGACACGGGTCGACACCTGACCACATTCACACGTGGTCCAGGGTCGAGCCTGTACACACTCATTGTTCCGTCTCCTTCTCCTGCGTCTGGTCAGGTAGCTGCGTCGGGTCAGGTGTTTGCTGCAGCGTCCAGGTCTGGTCCTGAGTCTGCCCCCTGCTCGTGTCGCCTCCTGTCCCACGAGACCCTCCTGTGGCACCACAGGATGGGTCACCCCTCCCTGCCTCGTCTCCGCGGCATGGCCTCTCGCCTTCTTGTCTTTGGCCTTCCCCGGTCCCTCCCTCCCCTTCCTCCGGGGCCTGGCCCTCCCTGTGTCCCCTGTGTCGAGGGTCGCCTGCGGGCTACCCCTCACTCCTCCCCGTTCCCTCCGACGGAGGCCCCGATGCAGACGCTTCACATGGACGTGTGGGGCCTAGCCCGCGTCCGTGGACAGGGTCACGAGCGCTACTTCCTGCTGGTGGTTGACGACTACTCGCGTTACACCACAGTCTTCCCCTTGCGCAGCAAGGGTGAGATCACTGAGGTGTTGATCGACTGGATCCGCGCAGCTCGTCTCCAGCTCAGGCGGAGCTTCGGCTCGGACTTTCCTGTTCTGCGTCTGCATTCGGACAGAGGCGGAGAGTTCTCCTCCGGCCTTCTGCGAGCCTACTGTCGGGCACGAGGCATCCGCCAGACCTTCACGCTTCCGGACTCTCCACAGCAGAATGGGATTGCTGAGCGCCGCATCGGCATTGTCATGGACGTCGCCCGTACGTCCATGGTGCATGCGGCTGCCCCCCATTTTCTGTGGCCGTTTGCGGTTCGGTACGCCGCGCATCAGATCAACCTTCAGCCCAGAGTCTCCCGACCGGAGACCTCCCAAGCTTTGCTGTGGACGGGGAAGGTTGGCGATGCGTCGGCGTTCCGTGTCTGGGGATCTCGGGCGTTTGTCCGCGACTTGTCTGCGGACAAGCTGTCCCCTCGTGCTGCTCCCTGTGTCTTCCTTGGCTTCCCCACGGACGCTCCCGGGTGGCAGTTTT